TTTTGCCAAGACCTGTCCTTTGAGTTGAGGATAGCACAACAGATGTTCTCCCTTGGTAGCCAAAAGAACCAGGCTCTGCTGCTAAACTCTCAGCAGTTCATCGACCCGAGGACACCCACACACACAATCCCACACACACCGCTTAATGCCGAGATGAAGCGGTACTAATCCAGAGTGAGGACTGGCCTGGGAAACCGGCAGAGAGAGGAGTTGTCCTAAAGAACACACCAGAAGCCCCTCCAACCCCAGACACTGATAAAACCCAGCCTCCTGCCAAGCCAATCTGTAAACCAGGATGCACCATCGAGCGCACAGACACATCCCCGGGGTGCAGGGAGGAGAGGGGCCGGAGCTTAACCGTTAGGGCCCGAACCCCAGGACTCCAGAGGCAGGGTGGGTGCAGCCCGCGAGAAACGCCGTTTTCCGCTCCAGGAGCCGGCGGGCGGTGGCGAGAGCAGGTTCCGGGGGCCGGAGGGTGGGCTGCGGGCTGGAATGGCCGCCGCGAAGGAGGGGCGGCTTCCTCGGGCATCCCGGGCGCCAGCCCAGTGCATGCAACAGGGGGCTGAGCGCGAGCGGGTACCTCGAGGTACTGGAGCGGGACCGGGGAGCAGGAACAGGGACAAAGTTCCGGAGACCAGTGGGCCTCGGGCCGACCCGCGCGCCCCCCGCCCAAACGCTTAGCTCCCGCTCCCCAGACCCACGCGGACCCTGTCCCTCCGAAGGTAGCCGGTTCCAGCGGCGAACCCGCAACCTCCGCGCAGCCACCCGCTCGGCCCTTTCCCGCCAGGTGCCTGGGGTCCAGGAGAGAAAGAAGCGCGGCGGTGGCGGTGGCGGTGGCGGCGCGCAGTCCCACTCACCGTGATCCGCAGCGGCTGTGGCGCGGCAACCCAGGCGGGCGGCGATGCGCTGTCCAGGGTAGCCAGGTCCCTCTGCCCGGCGCTGTCTCGGCGCCCACACCGGTTACCCTCACCCACGCCCCCTCGGGCTCGCGCCGCCGCCGTGCAGCGCACGGATCCTCGGGCCGTTTCGTCCCCGCCCCCTCGCCCACAGAGGCCTCGCGGTCTGCCCCGCCTGGAGGGCGCGCGGGGGGAGGGGCGCAGGGCTAGCGAGGCGGCACCCTCTTCCCTGCGGCGCCGCGCGCCCCCTCCTGGGCGACCCGCCTCGCTCTGGCGGCTGGGGCGCCCCTGGCGGCCGGGAGGTGATTTGCAGGCCCAGCCGGCGTCGGTTGCGCGTGGCGGCTCAACGTTCGCGGAACCCCACGAGGACCCACCACCTGCCGGGATCGGCGGCTGCTGCCGCGGGAGGAGTAGCGTGCAGGGCAGGCACGCTGGTCCTGCTTCCAGTTGGGTTTCGTGGGTTTGAAGCACACATTAGGAGGAAATGGCTCTGTTCGTGCAGGTTTGCGGGGTCTGGTTTTCTTAGGTTCTGGGGGTGCGGTGGGGAGCGGATCAGTTTGGATACCGGCCCTGAGCAGGAGGCACTGTCCCCCTCCCGGTCCGACCCGGGGCTTCCAGCGGACGCCACCGACGGTGAGCGCACTGTGAACAGAACGGTGCACTTCTAGTTGCTTTATTTTTGTGTGGGGCCCAAGTGAAAGACGTGGGAAGAATTGGACTTCCCTGAGTATTACATGAACTTTCCTCCATTTCACCCTTAAACTTGGGAAGTTGGTGGCTCCCTTCTGTATCCACAGCATTTCGGGAGGCTGAGGCGGGCTGATCACTTGAGGTCAGGAGTTCGGGAGCAGCCTGGGCAACATGGCAAAACCCTATCTCTTAAATCAAAAATACAAAAAATTAGCCGCATGTGGTGGTGCGTGTGCCTGTGATCCCAGCCACTCGGGAGGCTGAGGTGGGAGGAGCGCCTGAGCCCAGGAGGTCGAGGCTGCTGTGAGCTGAGATCGTGCTACTGCACTCCAGCCTGGGCGACAGAATAAGACCGTCTAAAAAAAAGAAAAAAAGAGGTGATTATTGGGGTTGAGAACAGCATGTGTGGATGTGCACGGAGGTACCTGCCCCATGCACTTTGCATCCCACACCTTGGGTGGCATGGGCGCCCTTGCAGAGTTTTGTGCCGTAGCAGAGTGACATAGGTACCAGGGCTCAATCTTAACTGTGATACAATCAGCTAATATATAGTTTCATAATGGAGAGTTTTTAAATGTTATATAGAAGTTCCCATAGCTGAAGTGGTCAGTGTTATGCACGTTTGTTTATAAAGGTAGGTGATTTTATGACCATGAACAGGTAGATTAACCTGGTCTGATAAAGCCTCGGGAGACAGCTCTGCCACATACTGGGTGTGTGGTATTGGGTTGGTTACCTAAACTCTCTGTGCTCCAGTGTCCTGATCTAAAAATTCAGAATAAAATAGCGCTTACATGACATGTGGCTGTTAGGGTTAAATTAATATCGCTAAAATGCTAGAAAAATATCTGATACCGAAGTACTAGTTATTGATTTGTTATCAATTTTGAGAATCAGAAAGTGATATTCTATTTAATGCTGGTATATTTTTATAAAAAGTGTGACCCAAATCAAAGATACAATTTGATTTCAGCTTCACTTACTTTGTTCACTCAGCAAAGCTTTCAGTACCTACTATGTGCTGGGCATTTTGGGAAGAGCTAGGGTTACAGTGATGGAGAAAAACAGTCCCTGCTGTTAGGAGTTTTCAGAACCTATGATGATCTATATTATGATATTTAGAGACTTGAAGGAAATTCACACAAATAGTCCTCAACTATTGTTTTTCCTTGGATAACAGTATTATGGAATGATTTTCTTCTTCTTCTTGCTCTTCTCTTTTTGGGGGGGGTTCCACTCTGTCACAGAAGCTGGAGTGCAGTGGCTAGATCTTGGCTCACTGCAACCTCCGCCTCCTGGGTTCAAGAGATTCTCCTGCCTCAGCCTCCTGAGTACCTGGGATTGTAGGCGCCCATTACCATGCCTGGCTAATTTTTGTATTTTTAGTAGAGATAGGGTTCATCAGCCTGGTCTCAGACTTCTGACCTTGTGATCTGCCGGTCTCAGCCTCCCAAAGTGCTGGGATTGCAGGCATGAGTCACCGTACCCAACCTTTGGTTTTATTATTTTTTAAAGCTTGTTTTTATTGTCTATTTTACATGTGTTATACTTTGAAAGCTATATAAAAGTCACTTCCAAGTGTTTTGGATATTGAATGATTAAAAACTCTGGACCTGAATTTCATTGTATCACTAATCCAATGCAGTAGAATGTGAATTCTTAATTTAGACAGTGATTTTTTGACATTATTGTGTATAAATAGCACCAGAGGGTTTAATACAATACAAGCGTACCTGAGATCCATCAAGATGATCTCAGATACAGACCAAGAATATGAATTTTTTTTTTCAGTTTTGCTTTTGGATTAATATTTGCTATCAGTTTCACATCACAGGAATTCAAAAGGAGTATCTACTTCATTCTATAGGCATCTGTGACCCTGCATAAAGCATAATGGAGTCTTGTGGGTCTTGAAGTGGTGAAACCTCCATTCCCCAGGAATATGGATTTTGAACAAGCACTGCAAATGATGCTGGTACAGACAGGCAGTCCATGGACCATTATTTTGAGAAACTTAATTCCATTATCCATTCAGGGAAATCTTCAGTCTCTTTAACAACACAAAAGGAAGAAAACAATTTTTAGGTGACAACGGACCTTCAAGAACCCTGCTGCTGTTGCTTGCAAGAATTGTATCATTGATGTCATCTAGACCTTGCAAAGCACACCAGTTAAACATGGGGAAGGAATTTTTTTTTTTTTTTTTTGAGACAGAGTCCCACTCTGTCACCAAGCTGGAGTGCAGTGACCTGATCTCGGCTCACTGCAACCTCCACCTCCCAGGTTCAAGCAATGCTCCTGCCTCAGCCTCTTGAGTAGCTAGGATTACAGGTGTGTGCTACCACACCCAGCTAATTTTGTATTTTTAGTAGGGACAGGGTTTCACCATGTTGGCCAGGATGGTCTCAATCTATTGACCTCATGATCCACCCACCTTGGCCTCTCAAAGTGCTGGATTACAGGCATGAGCCTCCATTCCCGGCTGGGAAGGAATTCTTAAACTTTGAATTATCCCTGTACTTCCACATTACCATTTAGCCTAATAATCATTACTTTACCTCTATTCTGTAAAAACACATGTAAATCCATGAGGCCAGAAGGAGATCTAAAAAGTCATCTATATCTCATCTGTTTCTTGAAATATTATTATTTTATGGCTTTCCCTATCACTACAACAAAGGAACAAATGAGACAGCAAATGCCAGAGGGTCTTTTCCCCACCAATATTTTATTAAATAGAAAAAGGAAGTGGTGCCCAGGCTTAGTGGCTCATGCCTGTAATCACAACATTTTGGGAGGCCAACGTGAGCGGATGACAAGGTGAGGAGTTTGAGACCAGCCTCATGGTGAAACCCCATCTCTACTGAAAATACAAAAATTAGCCTAGCTGGGCATGGTGGCAAGCACCTGTAATCCCAGCTATCAGGAGACTGAGGCAGGAGAATTGTTTGAACATGGGAGGTGGAGGTTGCAGTGAGCTGAGATCACACCATTGCACTCCAGCCTAGGAGACAGGGTGAGATTCCATCTCAAGAAAAAAAAAGAAGAGGTTCTACCTGTATAAACACAGGACTGGAAAGGTACCTCAACCAAACATAACTGTGAAAGGGTCTTCACTCGCTATAACATGAATTCCCACTTATTCATCAGTGAAAAACTTAACATGCCATCACTTACATGATTTTATAGTATTTAATACCATTGTTCTCTTGTATGGATTACCCAAAAGCTTGAATCTGCTTATGTTTCTTTAGCTGTATTCAAGCCCATATGGAGCGTGTGTCCAATAACATAGACTAATTGTGTGTTTGGTACTTACGTGGAGGTGGTGCTATATAAAGTGATCATTAGCATAATCTAAGAATCTTAAACCTAAAAATAGACATCAAACTGACTCTCTTTCTTTCCCTCTGTCACATATCTTAGATTTTGTAGGTGAAGAAAGTGTGTCTCAGAGGAGTTAGAGAAGACCAGTTAATAGATGACAATGCTACGGCCTGGAACTCCTATTTGGATCCTGGGTCTCCTATCTCACTCAGCCTGGGTGAGTTTTCTGTGTCTCTACTGCCTCTCCAGTGCTAGTCTGCCAGCCCTCATCACAATTGTGAAGTAGGTAAGCTTTGTTTTGGGGAGTTTAATCTCCTTTTAGTGTGGTTCTCTTCTGAAGCATCCCTTTTGATATACCTAGCATCTTTCTGTTTTATCTTGAGAAAAATTCTCACTTATAATGTATTGTGACTTTAAATCAATCTACTACATTTCTTAAAGGATTTGTACTTTTAGGGCAGTTGTAGAAACAGACTCTGGAAATCACATCCTTTCCTTGGCCATGTGCTCTGCTTTGTGTAAAGAAAGGTCTGCACCTGTGTGAGTTTAGGAATGAAAAATAATAAGATAAAGAGTAAAGAGCAAGCCCAAACGAAGGCAGGTTGACTCTGGAAATCACATCCTCTCTCGCTAGAATGAGAGTAACGTAAACAAGAGACTAGACTAGCAACTCAGAATGAACCATTTTGAAGTCTATGATTTTCTTGCCTGTAGTTAAAAGTTGGTCAGAAATAGCTGATGTGTAGCAAATGATTTTTTACAACATTATGTAAAGTTGGGTTTTTTTTGAGATGAGATCTCTTTTTTTTTCTTTTTTGAGCTGGAGTCTTGCCCTGTCACCCATGCTAGAGTGTAGTGGCACAGTCTCAGCTCACTACATCCTCCCCCTCCCAGGTTCAAGCAATTCTCCTGCTTCAGCCTCCCAAATAGCTGGGATTACAGGTGCATGCCACCATGCCCAGCTAATTTTTGTATCTTAGTAGAGATGGGGTTTCACCATGTTAGCCAAGCTGGTCTCAAACTCCTGACCTCAAGGGATCCACCTGTTTTGACCTCCCAAAGTGCTGGGATTACAGGCGAGAGCCACCATGCCTGGCCAAGATGGGATTCCCTTATGTTGACCAGGTCGGGGGGCTCAAGGGATCCTCCTGCCTTAGCCTCATGAGAAGCCAGGATTATAGGTGTATGCTACCACAAATCATTTTCATTATTATAAGTTATGGAAGATGTTATTGTAAATGTAGTTGATGATAAAATTTACATGGATGCACAAAATTTAATAGTCTCTCCCTTGACTTTGTTTCACCTTAGACTGATTGGTCTTGCATTTTCTTTCTATTGCCATCAAGAACAGCAGCCTTCAATATGAAAACCCTATATGCCAACAAATAATCAACTCAAAAATTTTGTCAACTTCACCCCAAAGTTAGGAATTTAAATGTATTAAGAAGTCATCAGGTGGCTGGATGCAGTGGCTCATGCCTGTATTCCCAGCACTCTGGGAGGCTGAGGCAGGTGAATCACCTGAGATCAGGAGTTCGAGACCAGCCTGGCCAACATGGTAAAACCCCATCTCTACTAAAAATAGAAAAAAAATTAGCTAGGCATGGTGGTGGGCACTATAATCCCAGCTACTCTGGAGGCTGAGGCAGGAGAATCACTTGAACCCGGGAGGTGGAGGTCACAGTGAGCCAAGATTGCGCCATTACACTCCAGCCTGGGCAACAAGAGACAAACTCTGTCTCAAAAAAAAAAAAAAGGAAAAAAATCTGGAGACAATAGATGCTGGAAAGGATGTAGAGAAATAGGAACTCTTTTACACTGTTGGTGGGAGTGTAAATTAGTTCAACCATTGTGGAAGACAGTGTGGTGATTCCTCAAGAATCTAAAAATAGAAATTCCATTTGACCCAGCAATCCCATTACTGGGTATATACCCAAAGGATTATAAATCATTCTATCATCAAGACACATGCACACGTATGTTCATTGTGGTGTTGTTTATGACTGGGAAGACCTGGAAACCAAACCAAATGCCCATCAATGATAGACTGGGCAAAAAAAAAAAAAAAAGTGGCACATATACACCATGAAATACTATGCAGCCATAAAAAACAATGAGTTCGTTTCCTTTGTACAGACATGGATGAACCTAGAAACCATAATTCTCAGCAAACTGGCAGAAGAACAGAAAACCAAACACCACGTTTTCATTCATAGTCGGGTGATGAACAATGAGAACACTTGGGCACAGGGAAGGGAACAACACTCACAGAGCCAGGTGTGGGGGAGGGGGGATGGCGGCGGGGAGGATGGGGAGGGATAACACTGGGAGAAATGCCTGATGGGGGGATGTAGGGGTGGGGGGGTGGAGGAGGTGGGGAATGGAGACAGCAGACCACCATGGCATGTAGGTACCTATGCAATAATCCTGCAGGATGCAGGATGTGCACATGTACTGCAGAGCCAAATACAATAAAAAAAAAAAAAGCTATGCTCTTCTATCATCCTAGCACAAATGGAAACTCAGGCCCATACTGACTGATGGCCTGTTTAAACTCTTCACAGTTTGAAGGGAAGGGGTTCAAAAGCAACCCATACTTGCCCTTGCTGATCTGGAAGGTGTGTAACCACGGGAAATTGCCATGCCTCTAAATCTCCCTCATTTCCCTCTTGTTGAATCCCAGCTTGGATAGAACTGGTTACCATAGATATAGGAGTACAAGCACCCGAACTGGTTACCATAGTTCTAGGAGCACACACGCCAACAGAAGCAGCAGTAGAAATATTGGGGAGGCTCTGACCATCTCTCTACAAGATACTGAGCAGGGCTGATGGGCACACCTTTTCCTCATTTGACTTTTCATCTTTTTGCTCCATGATTTCTTTACATACTTAATCACACTCCTTCTCTTCTCCTGAATTTTCTCCTGAATCCTTTTCCTCACCTTATGTCTGAAACAGCTCCAGGGCAAAACACACCAAAGTCCAAATGGACCACACAAAATAAGCCCTGTGTTTGCTTGATCTTTGGCTGATGTTACCCCAATATGACCGAGTTCCCCCAGCTGCCACCCTGGGAGATTTTTTTCAAATGTTCTTGCGCCAATTCCGAGCTCCCCCAACTAACCCTGGGAGATTTTTTCAAACATTCTTGGTCTACTTCAAGGTTCTCCCTAATTCACCCTGGGAGTCTCCCTTGGGCTCCTTCTGAGCTCCCCAACTTACCCCAGGGATTTTTTCCAGTAGTATTTGGGCCACTTCTGGGTTCTCCCTAATTCACCCAGGAGTCTCCCCCTGGGCTCCTTCTGGCTCCCCCTAACTCACCTGGGGGATTCTTTTCAAACATTGCAGAGATACCTTCAGCTTAGCCTCTTTTTCCATTGTTCAGGCAATCCTTCATCCTGGGTTTTAGTCTCCACATTTGGGCACCTCTTACCAAGAACCAGCTCAGTTGGGATACCCCCACCCAGATGGCGCTGAAGGCATTTGAGAGGCAGATACCGAAACAGCACAACAGAGTGAATCTATCCTGGGGACCAACAGCCTGAGAGACTGTGGGGCTGACAGCTCTCCAGACTGAAAACCCCTGAGCAGAGAGTCATCCATGTGTTTATTTGCTCTTTGACACGTGATTCTTATTAATACACAGGTGATCTACATATACAAATATACTAGGTAGGCAGCTGTTACCCGCCTACCACTAATTACAAACTAAAAGTATCTTCCACAAGAGAACCATGGGGGCAGGGTAAACTTAATGTTTCTCAACAGTGGTCATGCCTGCTTGCTGTTGGGAATCGGGTTGTTTTGCTCACTCAAACTGGTAAACTTACTGAGGCTTGCTCTCGGCTTTGATGACAGGGCAGCATGAAAGACAGCTTTCATTTTATCCGCCTACGTTAGAGAAGACTTTCAACCTTTTTGCTGAGTTGTGGAGCTCTGGTTCAATCTTAGAGAAAGGCAGGATAGTGGAGTGGGGCTTGGAGCCAAGGTAACTCCAATTTCCAACAGGCTCCATCACCGATGAGCTGTGTAGCCTCAGGCAAGTCACTGAACCACTCTGAGCCTGTTGCTTCAACTGTAAAATAGAGATAATAACACAGCACCTTGCAGGAGTTGTGTGAAGATGAAAGCTTTAGGTACATAAAGATATAAAATATGGAAGAGTTTGGCACATAATAGACCCTCATAAATGTTCAGGAGTGCACAGAATAATTAATCATAAATATTGTTTATGAAATTAACAAACCAGAAGATAAATTATGCTCATGCTAACCCACCCACCTTATGGATGATTAGTTCGGATTCAGGATCAGATTTGAAATATCTTTTGAAACATATGTAGGGCAGAGAAATAAACATTCGAGTGCCTGGAGAACCTTAAATTTTCTCATTCCTGACTTCTGATATAAAATTTGCAATACAGCATAAGTTTTTGGTATGCTCCCTTTTCTTTCAGACTTATTTACTTTTAATGAACAAACAAACCCACGGTATCATCTACAGTAATGGCAATTACAGCGAGTAGGAGATAGAGCAATAAAAATGAACCATAAACTCTAGTTCATAAAGGGAAGCCCAAATCCAGGAGCTGACACAGTGAAGCTTCTAAAGACGTCATCGGTGACTGATGTTGCTGCAGTGTGACTGAATGGTTGTTTAGTCTGAAGGAAGTGGGCATCAGTCAAAAAGGAAGGATGGCATAGTTATCCCACCCATTTGCTAAATCGAAATTGGAGAAATTATCTAGGGCATTCAGCTATCCTCTTGAGAACATAACTATTTCTTAATTACCTAACTAGAAAACTCATGAGCCTCTGGAGAATTCTTAGGAAATGTTACAGAGAGTTTATGTGAACTGCAGCCTCTGGTGGCAAATGCCCCAGAGCAAATCTCTCACTTGAAATGAGTTCTCAGGGTCTGATGCAGCCAATCATCCCCTTGTCGCTGTTCCCTCCTTCCCATCCCTTTCTGCTACCACCAATCTAAGCGACTTCCCAGCTGACCCCCTGCCCCCAGCCTCTCCAGAGTTGCCTTCATGAAACACAGCTCTAATCACATCAATCTGGCTCAGACACTTTTAGTGGCCCCCCCATGTCCCACATGATGAAGTCCAAACTTTTTCAAATGATACTTAAGGTCTTCCATGATCTGGCTTCAACTTCTCCTAGGTCTCCTTTACCACAGCCCTTATTCTCATCCTCACTAGTAACCTCATGCATCCATTCAACAAACATTTTTAAAGTGCCACAAATCTAGCATTGTGATGGAGGGCGAGCAAGACACAGTCTCTGCTCTGGGGAGCTCAGAGCCTGGCGATGGGCTCAGAGTCTGGACAAGCCAAAGAGTGTTTTCCCCAGTTACTAACCCAGAGAGTTAGTCCCCAGTCATTTACCCTAAGAATGCCTTGTACTTTTTCTTTCAAACACAAATAACAAGTAAAGGATTATCTAGGTAATTATTTAATGCCTATCTCTCCTCCCCTCATCAGCCTATAAACTTTTAAGGGCAGAGAGGGCAGAATCATGTCTGATAAGTTCATCCTACATGTGCATTGACAGTTATATAGTAAATGACCTAAAATAAATATTTTTGAATGATGTCTATTTGTGGTCATTTTTTCTTTTTGGAGCTTTACCATATTACTCTTAGATTTTGTGCAAAACATTCCAGAATCTGGAATGTGTTCTCTAGTTCCATGGGGCTGTTTCTCACCTGGTCTGATGGCCAATAACATGCATAGGACTCCTTTATTCCTGCCTCAACAGAAGTGTCTGCACACACACACACTCACACACTTGCACACGGTCTCACACACTCCCATCCCTCTATTTATTTTTATATTTGCATCCAGAAGCCAATATGTTATCAAGGGGATGTTAACCTGGTTAGAAAATCCGACTCTGACAGAATCTTGAATATTTGCTCCATAAATTCATCAGTGCAAGGGCAGACTTTATACTTAGCAACATTCAGAATTGCCTTGGTTCCAAAATTTTAAAAAGGAATGCAAAATTTAAAAAAAATCAAAATGTCTTAAAATGCTAAATATAGAGAATAACTATGAATACCAAGCCCCTTGCTAATCTTATAGATAGCTCATCTAGACTTATGGCTTCAAATATTACTTACGTGTTGTCTTAGGGTGGGTGACCCAGAAGCAGAGCCTGATTTGTATGCACATAATTTCTTAAGGAAATACTCCCTGGACTGGTAAGGAAGAGGGAGATGTAAACAGAGGAGAGGAAGCCCAGCAAAGGCATAATCTCAGGCAGGCTTTGCAAAGGGTGGTGGTTTTAACCCAATCCTGGGTGTATAGAAACCCTGGGGCTTAAGATATGCTGAGAGTTTTTGGAATAAGAGAACTAGGCTTTCACACACCTTCTGCCCTGTACCCTGTGCCTGTGTGTCACTGGTCAAGGATTGTCCTAGAACAGGAGTCTCCAAACCCTGGGCCACGAACCGGTACCTGTCTGCGGCCTGTTAGGAACTGAGCTGTACAGCAGGAGGTGAGTGGTAGATGAGCAAGCAAGTGAAGCTTCATTTGTATTTACAGTCACTCCCTATCCCTCGCATTACTGCCTGAGCTCCACCTCCTGTCTTATAGCACAGGAATCCCCAACCTCTGGACCAGGGAATGGTACTGGTCCATGGCCTGTTAAGAGCTGAGCTGCACAGCAGAAGATGAACAGTGGGCCAGAGAGTGAAACTGAGCTTCACCTCCTGTCAGATCAGCAGTGGCATCAGATTCTCATAGAAGCAGGAACACTATTGTGAACTACATATGTGATGGATCTAGGTTACACACTCCTTATGGTAATCTAGTGCCTAATGATCCGTCACTGTCTCCCATCACCCTCAGATGGGACCATCTAGTTGCAGGAAAACAAGTTCAGGGCTCCCACTGATTCTACATTATGGTGAATTGTGTAATTATTTCATTGTAGATTTCAATGTAATAATAACAGAAATAAAGTACACAATAAATGCAACGTGCTCAAATCATCCCACAACCATCCCCTGCACTGCCCGGTCCATGAAAAAACTGTCTCCCACAAAACCGGTCCCTGGTGCCAAAAAGGCTGGGGACCACTGTCCTGGAGGGAAGTCAATTTCCAAGTATATCTTGTTTTCTGATTGTGGAGGGGAAAGCAGCTCTAAAAGCCTAAGGGAAGTCTCCGAAAAGACACAGGTGCTGGGTGTTAGAAGCAAAAGCAGGAGTGGGGCTCTCAAAAGAAAACAAGGTACCGCAGGGAGTCTAGGTGGAGCAGCTGTGTCCACTACGTTGCTGAATGCTCTCACAGTTTCCTCCAGCTTGGACTTCTCACCTGACCTTCAGACGCATGCATCCAACTGCCTGCTTGACATCTCTACTTGAACATATGTGTCGGTTACCCATTGCCACAATAATGTTGTATAACACAACCACAAAACATCAGTGCATGTAATAACAAACTATTATTTTTGCTTACAGTATGTGGACCAGCTGGGCAGTTGAGCTGATTTGTGCTGGGCTTGGTGAAGCTCATTTATGCATCTATTGTCAGCTGTGGGTTTGCTGAATGGCTTGAGTAATCTTTTCTGGGCTTTCTCAAATGTATGAGGCCTCTGCTGGGAAAACTGAGCTGATTCCACTCTGCTGCACATGTCTCATCCTTCAGCAGGATAGCCTGGGAGAGAGGGAGGATGAGAAGGTAAGAGGGAGAGAGGGAGGGAGGGTAGGAGGGAGAGAGGGAGGGTGGGAGGAAGAAGAAGAGAGAGAAAACACACGGGTGAGAGCGCCCTACTTTGCAACATAGGCAGGCAGCATTTATAGACAGAAAACAGAAATGAGGTTCAGAAACCTCATTTGTAACTTGATTAGTTACAGCTCGGTAACCAATCAGCAGACACTATATTTGAAGCTGGTCTGATCAGTTGGCCACCTGTAACTGACTGAAGCTCAGTTGCTGTGACTGGTTGGGACTCAGCTATTTGTTACCAAAGTCTGCTCATGAGTTTTGCTTTCATTTAATTTATGTCTAGGTTAGATTGCAGTTTGTTACTGCAATCTAACTTAGACACAAGTACGGAGGCAACCCCAGGTGGAATTTGGCTTCACTTAACAAGGCTTAGGCCCAGAACTAGCCACTGTTCCTATTACCACATTCTGTTACCAAAAGAAAGTCACTGGTCAATTCAAAGAGTGGGGAAATAGACTTCATCTTTGACGGGGGAGCTTTAGAGTTCATTTCTGTAATCAGCCTCCTAATGTCTAACTGGCATCTGCTTTATTGGTGGCAGCTGAGCAGAGTTTCATTGCTAAAGACTTAGAGGTCATCAAATGAACAGTGTTTACCAATCCACAGTTTTCTGCAGGAAGAGGATACGATATAGCAGCAGCATTGAAGTAGGGGCATGCATCACAACCGAGGGCTGTGTGGGAAGTAGAAAAGTTCCTTTTTAAAGTTTGGTTTCTTGTTAAAGAATAAATCATAAGTGTGCTAATAACTCTTCGTTAAGCCCTATCCTATGCAGCCATTAGACATGCCATGCTTACAGGCACGTAGTACATTTTGTGTCCTTGTACTTTAACTGTGCTGGACGTGCTCACAGGCATTTCCCAGCTCTCCACTGCTTTTACCTGTTTAGAAAAGTCTTAAGTTGTTAGCCAATGGGGTTTTAGTTTAGATTGTGAGGTCTGGCTCCAGCCAACGGAGATCAGACACAGCAGTGACAACCCCAAATGTGTAAGAAATAAATTTGCGTGTTTACCTTTGTTCTTTGTACTCTCATGCACGATGACTAGCGAGGGTACCCTTTTTGCAGTCCAGGAGGCAAAAATTGCCTTGCTGAAAGATACGTTGTCTCAGTGCCAGTTTTTCTTTGCAGCACCAAACATCTATTTCCAACAGGCTGTGTCACACAGCAAGGGGTCCAGAGGGGCCAGGTGCAAGCTCCAATTATCCTCCCTCTGGAAGGGCCACACTTGACATGCCCTCTCCCAGACCAGGAACCACTGATATGTACACTTACACTTACAACTAGGGAGCCCCAAATGGAGTCTTGTCTTGGGTCTCAGGATTTTTTTTTTTTTTTTGAGGAGTCTAGTTGTATCACCCAGGCTGCAGTGCAGTGGCATGATCTTGCCTCACCGCAACCTCCATCTCCTGGGTTTGAGTCCCAGCCTCCTGAGTAGCTGGGACTACAGGCGCCCACGGCCATGTCCAGCTAATTTTTGTATTTTTAGTAGAGATGGGTTTCACCAAATTGGTCAGGCTGGTCTCAAACTCCTGACCGCAGGTGATCCACCCACCTCAGCCTCCCAAAGTGTTGGGATTACAGGTGTGAACCACCATGACCATCTGATCTTGGGTTTCTTTTATCCCATAGGCATCACTTGGGCACTTGCTCCTGTGCAACTGGGCCCAATGGCAGAGCCTTCTAGGGGTGAGGGAGGAGACGGTCCTCACTGAAACCAGGTGCAAACCATCAATCTAACCTCACCATTACTAATCAACAATGCTGACAAGGTAGTATAAACCATCCAAAAACTCCACAGACCTATGGGTACAAAGTACCACTAGTAATCAATATGTTCTGTGTCTTCCCAGGGAACAATGCTATGCAGGTCTATTTCTCATTTCAGTAAAAGTTCAGGCCAATTCTAGACCTGCTGGAATCACTTCACAGAGCACAGCATCTCAAATGCAACATGCTCAAAACTGAGATCTTGATGGTGCTTCCTCGATTCTTCCTCATCCTGCTAATGACAACTTCATTATATTTGCTCAGACCAAAGACCATGGCATCATGTGACAACTCTCTGTATTTCATGCCCCACCTCCAATCTATCAACAAATCCTGTTGGTGCTACCTTCAAAATATGTTCAGAATTTGGCTGAGTGCAGTGGCTCACACCTATAATGCCAGCACTTTGGGAGGCCAAGGTGGGTAGATCACTTGAGGTCAGGAGTTCAAGACCAGCCTGCGAAACATGGGGAAAACCAGTCTCTACTAAAAATATGAAAAAAAATGAGTTGGGTGTGGGGGCATGCGCCTGTAGTCTCAGCTATTTGGAAAGCTGAGGTTTTCAATCACTTGAACTTGGGAGGTGGAGGTTGCAATGAGCTGAGATTGCATCACTGCACTCCAGCCTGGGAGAGTGAGACTTCATCTCAAATCTGTATATATATTCAGAGTTCTATCACTCTCACCTTCCTCACTCACACTACCATGATCCAAGGTGCCCTCATCTTTCACCTGCTGCTGTGGTTTAAATGTGTGTGTCCCTCTAAAATCCATATGTTGGAACTTAAACCCCAACCTGATGGTACTAGAAGGTGGGATCTCTGGGAGGTGATTCGGTCATGAGGATTCTACCCCCATGAATGGGATTAGTGCCCTCATGAAAGGGCTGCAGGGAACTAGCTAGGTCATTTTGTCTTCTGCCATGCGAGTACACAGAGGAGGCACCATCTCTGAGAAACAGGCCCTCACCAGACACAGAATATGCTGGTGCCTTGACCTTGGACTTCCCAGCCTCTGGAACTTTGAGAGTCAGTTTTGATTGTTTAGAAATTGTCCAGTCCCAGGTATTTTGTTACAGCAGCTGGGCCTCGACTAAGACACCTCCTAACTGGCTACCGGCTGTGCCCTGCCCCCTTTCAGTCTCCTCTCAACATAGCAGTCAAGGCAAACCATGAAAAGTGAGTCACTTCTCTGCTAAGACATCGCAAATGACTCTCATCCCACTCAGAAGAAAAGCAGAAGTCCTAACTCTGACCACGGGCTCAGTGTGACTTGGTTGCTCTTGACTTCTCTGATGCCATCACCTGCTACGCTCTTTTCTCCACTCTAGTTGGACTACCTTCCTTGTTCCTCAACATGCAGGCACACCTCCGCTTCTGGCCTTCCAGGTTCCCTCCACTGGAATGCTCTTTTCCCCTGCGATCTGTTTTGCCCCCTACTTCCTGCAGGTTTTCTAGTGGGGGCTTTCTAGATACTTACCTAAAACTTCAGTCTCCTTCCAACATTTACAGTCCTCTTCCAGTCTTCAGTTACTTTTGTTTCTTAGCCTTTATCACTGTCCAGCACTACACACATTTACTTATATATCCCTTTTACAGACTGTCTTCCTTCTAGAATGCAAGTTCAAGAAGGGTAGGAAGGTTGCTTTGTTTACTACTGTATTCCCAGTTCTCAGAACTGAACCCGATACATGGAAATTACTCAGTACGTGTTTTTTGAATGAATGTTACTCATAATCATAGATCAGTAATATCATGGATCTGTCAGACTGTAAATTCTTTTGGAGTATGAGCTATCATATATTTTAATATTCCACATTGTATGTGATATATATCTCTTTGTTTTTGCAGGTTTTCAGTAAACATTTATTGAAAGAGCTAAACTGAAATATGCTAACCTTTAAATTAAAAGTGTACCAGTTTTAATATTTGGAGCTGTGAATGACTTTCTAAAATAATACAAATGTTTAAGATTTTATACAAAAGAGTCGCTATGCTTGATTATATCGAAGATATCACTGAATATGTAACACCATTATTTTACGTTCTATGGAGACAAAAAATGCTGCCAATTAAATTATGATTAAATACTTTTTTATCATTTGATTTTTATTTGGCCCTCATTGAAATAGCTTCTTAAGGCTTATTTAGCAAAGACATTATATCATGTTTGTGTGTGTGTGTGTATATGTACACACACATATGAAAAGTCAAATGTAATTGAAACAAACTGTCTAAGCATTCCTGAGACTTCACATTCCGAATTCAACTCTTCACAACCATTTTTTGACACTGACTCATTAATGTCCATGTTTCAAAATCAAGAATGTTCTTTAAAGAGCACACTCTTGTCTCTGGAATTGTCCCCCAGGTCCCCGACATGATTTAGCACTTTTGGATGAACCAGAGCAGGCAATGACAGCTACAGCTACATTGTGACCGCTGCCTGGTCTCAGTGCCTGTCACAGGCACCCTGAGTTCAGCAATGTTAAAATAGGAAAAAAATTTGCATCTTAGAGTCAGTGACATCAGGAATACAGTGAGATACCCACTTCCAAAGGTCTTAATGGTCTTTTTAAAAAAATCAATTCTAACTTTTTCCTCTTTCTGTTTTAAAATAGGTGAATTTTATTAACCATAGCAATCATTTGCAGCACATGCAAAGAAAGCCTTTCATTAAAATTTATCCTAATTATTTGCACAATAGTAATCATAAGTCATTAAAGTGAATTGCAGGAGTCAGAAAATTATTAAAGATTGGTAATAGTTTTCATCCATCCAACTGAAGAAAAATAGTCCTTCAAACTCTGATTATAGTCAGTCTTTTATAGACTTGTTTGGAGGACATTTACACACAGCCTCTAGCGTACTTCAAGTCATATCTAGTCACTTGTAATACCAACTACAATGTAAATGCTATGTCAACAGTGGTTATGCTGTATTGTCTTAAAATTTGTATTTTTTTTTATTGTTGTATTGTGGTATTTTTTTCAGAATATTTTCAATCTACTGTTGGTTGAGTCTCTGGATGTGAAACTCCAAAAGAGAGGACTGGTTATAACCTTAATCCAAGAGAAACATATGATGATTGTTAAGATTGCAATATCTTTTTATTATCTCTGTAGTAACTGGTTAATAAAGTGACTAGTTATTAAATATATTTTTAAATATTAAACAGTTTTTCTTGGGGTAAAGCTCACAGAACATAAACTTCATTATTTAAGAATATATAGATCTGTTTCTACAAAAAATAAACAAATTAGTGGGTGTGGTGGCCCATGCTTGTCGTCCCAGCTACTTGGGAGGCTGAGGTGGGAGAGTGGTTTGAGCTTGGAGGGTCAAGGTTGCAGTGAGCCAAAATTGCACTGTAGTATTCCATCTTGGGTGACAGAGCAAGATCTTGCCTCAAAATAACAACAATAGTATCTAATTCACAATATTGTACAACCATCGCCTCTATCTAGTTCTAAAGCATCTTCATTGCCCCCCTGCAAAGGGAACCACTTACCCATTAAGCAGTCTACTCCCCTTCCCCCTGCTCCTAGTCCTTGGCAACCACCAACCTTTGTCTCTGTAGACTTACCTATTCTAGATAGTTCCTGTAAGTGGAATCATATATTACGTGACCTTTTAGACTGTGTGTGGTGGCTCATACCTGTAATCCCAGCACTCTGGGAGGCTGAGGTGGGCAGATCATGAGATCAGGAGTTCAAGACCAGCTTGACCAATGTGGTGAAACTCTGTCTCTAGTAAAAATACAAAAATAAGCTGGACGTGTTGGCATGTGTCTATAATCCAAGCTATTCAGAAGGCTGACTCAGGAGAATCATTTGAACCCGGGAGGTGGAGGTTGTAATGAGCTGAGATTGTGCCACTGCACTCCAGCCTGGGTGACAGAGCGAGACTTCATTAAAAAAAAAAAAAAAGTGACTTTTTTGTATGGCTTCTTTTACTAAGCAGGTTTTCAAGTTTCATCCACCTCATAGGACATGTCGGTACTTCATTCTTGTTTATGGCTCCGTAATATTCCACTGTCTGACTATACCACAGTTTCTTTAAGCACTTACCAGTCGATAGATGGGTTGTTTCCATGTTTGGCTATTGTAAATAGTGCTGCTATGAGCACGGATGCACAAGCCTTAGTTTGAATACCTCTTTTTCAGTTCTTTTAGGCATCTACCTAGGAGTGGAGTTGCTGGGTCATATGGTAATTTTATATTTAACTTTTTAAGGAACTGCCAAAGTGATTTCCGCAGAGATCGCATCATTTCATATTCCTACTGGCAATGCATGAGGGTTTCACTTTCTCTATGTCCTCATGAAACATTAAATAAATGATTAAAAACAGTTTTTTTCTGAAACTGTAATATAGAATTTACAAAAATATAAGATTACAGAACTGTTTGGAGGGCATTTTGGCACACAACTTGGCATTTTTAAACATTAACAGTGCAAAGTATTCGGCACTTCCCTGCACTCAGAGCCCCTGGTTATTCTGAAAGCCATGTGGCACTTGACCTCAAAGTTAGTTTTAAGGCTCTGTCCCCTTGCTCCCTCCATAATATAGAACGTTCCCATTTCTCATAGGCCTTTATGTCTCCATTCTCTTTCTGCAGAACACAAAGTCTTCCTCTGTACTCCCTGCCAAGTAACTCCTTCCAACCCCTCAGTCTCATTAACATCGCAGCCCGTAGGGAAAACCATCAGAGGCGCTAACAGCTGCCCACACATCTCCCACTGCAGTATGATAATGTCTAATGAGACTTTCCAAGGCTCACCTTCAGCAAGACAAACCCCAATTCTCCCTGCTGGATTCCTGCTGTTCCTGTCCCCAGTCCAACACCTTCTTGTTATGAAAACCTGGCAGTTTTTCAATTAAGCAGATTGCTCATGTCTTTCCAGATATCTCATGATCCTGGTGTGGTGAAAAGGACAGAATATCTGGGCTCTGGGCCCCATCTGCCACCCATGACCTTAATTCTTTACAGCATTTCCTATTGAGTTTCTGCCATCTGCAAAGTACTGAATTATATAGCAGACAGATCACTGGTCCTGCCTAGGTCTCAAATCTGTAACATGAAGAGGAGATATCTCATCTTCCCTGGATCTGATGATCCTGGACATCCATTCCAACCGAAAGTAATTCCATGCTTATGAATTGGAAAGACTGTTTTGATGGGAGGGAACAGCGGTTCTTAGAAATAGGTGTGTAACAAATGAGTAAATGTTCCCAAAATATTTGGGAGAGGAGATGAGACATGGAAAGAAAATTGCCAGTTGCCATCACTTTCACAAGACCCCCCGAATTCAGCAGAACGGAAATCTCAGTATGAAAGGCAATCCTCGAACTTAAATGCATTTTTGTGTATTAGTCTTATTTTTCCAATTTCTAGGGAACCACTGGCTGAGAGGAGAGAATCCAAAGAAGCAGAAACCCACTCTCCCATTGACGTCTCAATAATGTGCCATCTGAACGATTTCTCAGTTCTCTCTCTGGTTTCTTTCTCAAGTAACTCAAAAGTTCTCACTGACCCATTTGAGCATTTTCAAAGTGTAACTAGCGTCTACAGACACTAGAGGGCAGAGCGCAGCCTGAGGTCCGGTCCTGAGGCTGCAGAGCCATCACCTCATTTCATTTTCCCTGTGTGCCTCCGAACGGCGCTGCAGCTCGCGTCAGTCTTGTCCCCAGCTCGGATGCTCCTGGCACTGAGCTCCTTTCTGGAGAGGGTAGGGAGAGTCTATCCTATCTGAGACGCAAACTGAGGAAGGGGCACCCTGCCTTCCTGGAGATGCTGCCCTGCATCAGAAGCCCAGGAGGAGCTTTCCTCTTTGTATTTAAATTCTGTAACTTGCATTCATCATTGGCATAAAAAATATTTATAGAGCCTGGCGCGGTGGCTCATGCCTGTAATCCCAGCACTTTGGGAGGCCGAGGCGGGTGGATCATGAGGTCAAGAGATTGAGACGATCCTTGTCAACATGGTGAAACCCCGTCTCTACTAAAATACAAAAAGTTAGCTGGGCATCGTGGCGCGTTGCCCCGATAAATATAAATATAAATATAAATTTATATTTATATATAATATATAATAATATAAATATAAATTTATATTTATATATAATATATAATAATATATATAATTATATATAAATATATATAATTATGTATAAATATATATAATATATATTATGTATAAATATATAATATATATAATTATGTATAAATATATATAATATATATAATTATATATATATAAATATATATATGTATATATATATTTATAAAGTCCTTTAGCAGCGTCATAAGCTACTGAGCGTGGACTCCACAGACGCTGCGCCGTCAGGGTTGAGTGACCCATCACACATGCTGAGGAACATTTTCCTGCCGTCAGTTTCTTCAGGGACAGCAGGACGACACTCTCCCTTCCCTCCCTCTAAAAAGGCAGGCAGGATAGCATCTTTGGTGTGTCTTAGCACTCGCACACAGTGTTCTCAGTTCATCCTGAACCTTGAGAGGGAGGTATTCTATTTATCCCTGTTTCATTATTCTTTTAAAACTCAGTCTCGGTTTTCAAAAATCAGGTCTAACAATTTTAAAC